CTAAACATAATACACTTCTTGCAGTTCCTTTCGAACTTTCGTTACTGATGAGATGGACATGTTGTTAGTGATAAGATTTCTCAACTGATAAAGTGGGAATTACTGATAAGATGCAAAGCATGTCTCTGATAAGAGGACTTAGTCAGTTGTAGATTGATAAGGTTGGTAATTTTTGCTGGTAGGATTGATAAGTGAAATGATTAGCGTATAGAGGAGTGATCAAAGGATGACAGCAAAATTGTAAACCAATTGACTGAGACAAGTGAGATGTTGTAACATATTTGGTGAATTGTAGTCATGTCTGAAGAGGTGCAACTCGCCGGCACCACTCAACTTGCCGTCGAATTGTTTCTCAGCCAATAACCGTGCACGATTACGAAACGACTCAAACACCTGTGAATTGATCAGTTGATTAATTATGCAGTTAAGAGAGTGTCTTCTTTGAGACACTTGATATTATGTGATAATGATGATTTTGATAAGAACGATGATGTCGATAGCAATCAACAAGCAAAAATGAATTGCACTTGATCAAAGCAGTGAATCTGGCATCGCACCTGAGGTGAATCAGTTCGTTCCAGAACAATCAAATCTTTATGTGAACCGAACTGAAGCGTGATCGAGATACGACGATCCTCACATGTCTCCATCGCCTCCTCACCGTTCGTTCCGAAAAAATTCGGAAACATTTCTGAACTTTCAACAGCACTTTCAGTTTTTCGTTTTCACCTCCCAGGCAAATACCCTCTAAAACTGTGCCAGATTAGTTAGGGCTGAATGACCATCCACTCACGCATATAATATATTCATGTAAATATATGCATTAATAATAAATACTTGCTGCATATTTTTGCGGTGAATATATGCGTGACGAACTGCATTGTATGCATAACGATAAAGTTATGTAAATATCAGAGCGACAGTAAAAAGTGCCACCGTGATAAAAATGGAATTTCATTACATAAGAATGCTTCATTATCTACTCATCACCAGCACGATAAGTTAACAATATGAAAGAACGATAAAATAATTGAAACTATCATCTTTTCGATACGAGGTGAGAATATCTACACTGTGTGCAAAAGCCGTTCAATTACTAGAGAAAAAGACCACAAAATGGTTTTAGAAAATGCAAAGTTGTTCTCCAAACAGCACTGCAAAAATGAAATACAATGCTAAAATACGACTGCAATTGCAGGAGTTTAACGTATGGAAACTATATGCTGAATTCGAATAACAGTTTTTTTTTAAGATTAAAAAATACGATCCACTTTAAACGATCAAGAATACAAGCGATTAACGACGAATGGCAAGTGTAGTTAACGAATAGTCAACGCAATCAAAACGAACACTTAGCGGAAACGAATACCAGATATCTTGTAAAAATGAAGTACGAATGAGATCATAAAGATAAGATCTTTATTAATACATCTCTAAAATTAAGACAAAATTACAAATGCAAATGAATTACTGAAAATAAAAAATTTCACGTATCTAATTCACTGGATTAGTCAACGGCCATCACATTATGAAACATTTCATCATGATCAGAATCATTTCATTAGCCACCCCCACAGTTAGTGTGAGAGAGACGGATCGCTTATGGCAATTAATGTGGACGGTTTGTTTGATTTATTATCCCCCGGGGCTTACAGCAATTATAAAATGCATCGTAGACATAATGCAACACCGAAATGAAGATGCGGCATTCACGATAAGAATATTTACTCAGCAGAAAATTTCACAAATGATCATGGAACAGCTTGGAAGTAAAAATCGAGTTGGAATCAGTTTCGGGAACACTGAAGTCTTTTGAAAACTGTGCGATGAAAACACCAAGCCCAAACAATCCTTCACTCTCATTATATGACGAACAATTAAATTTGGTAGAATAACTGTTAGTTAAACTATAAAAAGTATTATTTGATGCGAATAATACTAGATATAGCTAACTGAATGTGACAAATAATTGCACAGCTGTGTTGAGATCGATATTTTGACTGGCTTATTGAAAGTGATTGATATGAATTGATTATACGGACTGTTGGACGGATGGGTGGATAGATATGCATTCACGGAATCCAGTAGCGCTCTACGTAGCGAAACGCAANGATAGCGCGCTGCTGTCCATGTTTGATGGAATGAATCTGTTCAATACGTCTTCATTTGTACTTCAATCGTTGAATGCCGAATATCGATGGTATCAAAATGTCAACGGATCAATAATAACGATAATAACAAGGTGCGAATGTATTAATTTAAAAAATCATACAGTCTCCGTGCAATTCAAAACATTTTCCAGTTACATTTCAGAAACATTCACGAACTATTGATTGATTATTTACATTCCAAAATCTTCATTACAAAATTTTAGTGCTGAACGCATTGGTGATTTTCCAACAGTGCGATGTAATGCACACGCTTAATTGGCACACAGGTGAACATTTTCAGTATCATCGTAATTCCAAACAATTAAAAGCAAAATTGAAACATAAAATCTGATGATCAATTCGAATTAGAATACATCACACTGGTTACGAGCCACAGTTGTCTGATTACAAACGAAGGAAATTTTCTGCCATGTACATTTTTTTCGCCGAAACTTGTTTAAGGTTTTGTTTGAATTGAAGAAGTTTCGTTGAAGCGAGATGATGTTTTCATGAAATCGTCGCTCTTTCCTTGATTTATTTCACAGAAAACGACAACCATCAGCGATGCTTTTCAATTGCGATAAAAATGTTTGCTGACAAGTTTCAACAAAATCAAATCAGGTTCTGTGACTGAGTGCGAAAAAGAAATGATCAGAATGGCAATGAACCACTGCAATAGATCACATTGTGCACAATTTAAATCAAATCAGAAATGAGAACAAACGAAATCCAGTTGCCCAATTTCCATTTTTTAGAAGGCAAAGATTCAATTAAACGAACATTTTTGGCATGAATGGTCTAGAAATGTGAGCACAATTGAACGCTGAATTGCATAATAATGATGTTTATTGTTTCCAACAATAAATCTAGCTGGAACAAAATATCATTCTTCTGAAACGACAGATGATAGAGTTAAGATACAATGATTGTAAAATGATTAACTGATCATAAGATTCAATAGTGATTTGTTAATATAGAGGCAATCAAACGGAGCTGTTAAAAGACTAGCGAAAGAAGTGTCTCTAGTCTAATTTGGGGTCAGATTTAGTCTCAGGCTATGTCTCAAGCTCAGGTACAAGCTTATCCTTAGCTTCTTACTTATATTTGGACTCGAACTCCGAATTCAAATGTATGCATGAGCGCTAAACACGACCCTTACAATTAACAGTAGTCGGTAATTGGTTACTAATCATGTACAGCGATAGTTAACGGTTGTGTGTACATGTATACAAAAATGTTCACGTGAACCACTGGACCAAAACAGGACATACCTCGCGCAGTCTTCTTAAGTAACAGTCTCATAACGACATGTTATGCCAACAACTGAGACACAATAAACACAAACTGGCAGTAACAACCACACATGGACTGTCACATGCGAGAAGATTCATTGTTTTGTGAGGAACATCGAAAATAACACGATATGTTCCCTTTAAGAAAGGAATATGCTATGGAACATGCGCAAAATCAAACAGAACAAGTACACAAAAATACATAAGAACAATACGTTGACGGATAACGAATGCTGTGAAGCAAAAGAAACGTTTGAAAAATCTTCTGAATTCAATGATAGGACAGGCGAAGCAAGGGGAAAATATCAAAGAGAACAATGAAATTTCAAATCATGAAATGATACGATATAAGTAATGAGTACTCATAAGAATGTGAGTCTAAAATTGCAACAATAATGCATAATATAATAATATGTACACATAAGTCGCATTATCACATAAAATGCACCCAATATTATTCGATAAGATAATTAATGCAGAAATTCTGAACACGCGTTCATTACAGTTCATCAGTTCAATATTATGCGACAAATGAACAGCATAAGGAAGGAAGTCGAATGAATTCCTTTCTCTCGTTCATTGATATCGATATTGAAGTTTGCATGTATCTCGTCAGGGAGTGAAGTAAATAGAAGGTGGGAACATGACGATTTGTTGATTGCAATCGGTCGGTCATCATGCAATCTTTGTGCACATGCATCGATGAGCAGTGCACTTTCGTGATGGCATACTTCAATGACCTTAAGACGTCACCACTTTGCGCAGTAAATATAATATTGGAACATACACAAACACGTATTGTATCCACGAGAAGGTTTTTGATAAGGAGAAATGAAGAAGAGGCACTATGAACTGTTGACCACGAACACCTTACCTTGTTTTATGCCCTTTTCATGACCTCTACCCAACTCACAAAATCGATGAAACCGAATGGTCGAAGGTACTAAACAAGTACTCGCTGCATTCAACCTTGTATTGCAATATAACGTATA